CTCTGAGAGGTGATGATAACGATGATGATGACGTTTCATCGTGATAATCATCAACAACTTCGTCATCGTTTGTGCTTCCGGTTGATGTCATCAAATCATCATCAGGAAGTGACGATGTTGATTCAATAGATGAAAATGACGTCACTGATGTTGATGACGTCACTGACTTTCCATCATTTGATCCATATCCTGACGAGGCGGATTCCAATGATGACGTTGAAACTCTGCTCATTTTGCTGCTGTTTAGTTGTTTACGTTGAATTTTGGGATATTAAATGTTGTTGCTGGTTTTGTGTTGAATACCGATTGACGTTTTAATGATTTCGCATCATTACCAGTGTTTATATATTCCTTCAATTGGCCAACAAAGTGATTTATTGCAAAGTGAGTAACGGTGATTGATAGAAATTTATCGATGGTTAATATTGGGCATGTCTCAATAAAGCTCTCTAATTAGCATCGACTTTGTTTCTTATCGATGATCCTTCTAACAATCTTATAACATGTTCATGCTGGTTTGCATATGTTTGATGTGGCACGCGCTCTCAACACTAATGTATTCAAATTGCTTATCTGACCGAAATTATAACTATTCGCATTTCTTTTGTTGCTAAACTAACTAGTAGTCTCTTGATTTCAACTTTGTCACAAATTTTCTACAATCGAGGATATATTTTACTCTAGAAATCAATACTTTTATTTATTTAATTCTTATTGGGATAGCATATTTTCACAAAATACACTTTTCTCCTTATTAAAAATCAATATACATTTGCAGTGATTGCATGCAAGAAGTAAACATGCAGCACTCGCTCTGTTTTCCTTGTTTACAAATCCGGTTTATTACACTACAAAAATTGGATAACTCATAAAGGTTTACCTAGTTGGCAATAATAAAATTTAAGTTTTGTAATAAATTGAAAAATGTAATAAAATGGTTAGATTATATCGTTTGGTCTTAAGTTGAAATTTATTAGAACTTTTCATATTATTTCTAATAATTTTTTAAAATAAATTCTCTCATCAAATTCAACTTTGTTTTTCCTTTTAGTTTCAATAAATGAAACTAGTGCTTAAACATGCAAATACTTATTGTTATTCATTTTTCAAAAAGATTCACTGTGTATACGCACTATTAAATGCATCCATTTTGACCCTTAACTAACTAACTGCTCTACTCAAATCTTTCCGCCTCATCTTAACAATTTCCTGCACAAATTTCCCCTTTCCGATCGGTGAGAGCCTCATTTAATTTTTGTCAAGTTCCATGCGCAGTTCATCATTTTCCATACGTAACGTAGGGTAGTCAAATGCAATTTTCCTTTTTTCCGGGAGGCATGACATTTTTGAGGTCTCAGCTTTATTTCAAAAGCAACCAAAGAGTGGTCAGTGTCACAATCAGCACTTTGATATGAACCTGTCAATAATATATTGCCAATTTTTACATTTCTTGTTAAGATTACATCTAATTGATGCCAGTGTCTAGATCTGGGATGTTTCCACTGTTGTGGTTTAGTTTTAAAATATGTATTTGTGATACATAGTTTGTGGTATGAACAAAATTCAAGTAGTCTTGGTCCGTTTTTGTTCATTATACCAATACCAAATTGCCCAATGCAATCCGGACAAGAGTTATGAACTTATCCTACTCTAGCGTTGAAATCACCCAGCACCAACAGATGCTCTTTTTGGGATAAGCAGCCAATCGTTCTCTCAGGTTTCCATAATACCTATCTTTGTCCTACATGGATCAGCCTAGTGTAGGGGCATATGTGCTAATCAGGGTGGTATTTGTGGCTGTCTTTAAACCAACCCTCTAAGGAGGGAGAG